GCTCCCTCTACAAGTACAACAACCAGAAGACGCCCGACCCAATGCGGACCCTGGCGTGAGCCCCTCATGGGCCCAGGCCGTGCGTAGCTTCGTAGCTTGCCGAAGGCCAAATTTGCCTGGAGGTCAGTCAAGCATGTTGCTGGCTGTCGTTGGATTCTCCGGACTGGCTGTTTCCCAAACCTTCGAGCGTACAGGCTTAACGTAAGTAGAATGATGTATAATGCCCTGAAGTTTGGGACTCATCGTTCCTAATTAATTACGCGGTTGCCAACTCGCTTTGGCGGAAGAAAGCCCAGGCCAAGCATGGTCTTTCTTGTGCTGGACTAATGATGCTTGGGGTGCGGAGGAGCTGTGACCAAGTCATTCATTGACACAGTTGTTTGCTCAAGAACTGACGCAGACGCACTTTCCTCCGCAGACCTGGCCAGACCAACAGGTGAAAAGCAGTCAAAAGCAGAAAAGAGCGAAATCAAGCAAGGTGGCTCCGCCAGCGGTATGTGACGTGTGGGGCCAGGGAGGCAGCACGCGGAGCGCCATGGACAGGGGGCCAGAGAGAGAGAGAGGTGTCTATTTCACTTAGGTCCCCCTTTCCCCAAAACCTGGGTCGGCAGAGTCTAGCATGCGTGGAGAAGTAGGGCCACGTGCACACTGCCTAGATGTCCTCAAACTTGCAATGCTTATGTGTGTAACTATGGATCATCTATGGAGTCCAGAGGTGTGATGTTGTAGAGCAACCAGTCCCAACACGGGGTGGGCAAGGATGCCCGAGGTGGCCCTTAACGCGAGAAGCGTATGTACATGCATTGCTGAATACCAGGTGAGCTTGCTCACCACTCCCCTAAGCAAAGCAAAGATCAGCTTACGCGCTGAGCTCTGAACATTTTGGTTGGGTACTTCTTGTGCTCTTCGGGTGTACTGTGGATCATCATGTGGCCTTGGACCTGGAGCTTCGAGTGCCGATTGCTGTGCTGCGAACCTCGCGTGTGTCTGGCCTTAGAATCCTAGAACTGTTGCTGTGTTCCTGCGGGTCAGTTCCTGCAAAACATTGCACAACCAAACGACGTGGAGGCCTCTGGTAAGGAGCCATCACTGCTGCATGAATTGTGAAGAGTGTCCAGACATACCGAGAATTTACAATGAGCTTGCTGGATGGCAACATTAGCTGGCTCAAAGACTCTAATTCAGTAGCTGCTGGCCAAGGGCTACTTTTCTGCCATGGGGGAGACTGCTGGCAAATTCGCGCTCATGCCTGATCCTAAATCTACAAATCACTCACCCCTGCGCGTTCCGGTGTGTTGTTGCATCCTAAGGGGCTGCGGCCTTGTCTGTCTCGGACTGCTCATTTTCGTCATAGTCATGCTGGCATCCATCAAGGCCCTAGCCTCAGCCATGTGATTTGCACATATTTGCACAACTGGAGGTAAGTAGCGCGCAAGTATGCAGCCACAATTAGCCACACTGGCTTGAGGGACAAATGAAAGCCCATCAGAAGCCTCTCAGTCTCCCGTCTGCTTGATAGTGTGAAAGTGTACAGCTAGAAGACCATCCACTACTGATATGGCGCTTTCCTGTCCAGCTGTAGCTTTGGATGCTGTCCACCGCATGCAGCTTTCCCAGCTCCCGCAGGCAATCAGCACACTGACAAAATCTAATCCTTTTCTATCAAAGGCTGAGGCCAGTAACTGAGCCGTTGCTGATGTCATGGCGCGAAGGTCCTCCATATGCCACTGTGCTTTGCAGCAGGTCCGCAAGGCCATGGATCACCAGATTGTTGGTCAAAGCTCAGCAAAGGAAGCGGTGCTTTTGGCGTTGATTGCTGGGGAGCACCTGTACATAGAAGGCCCGCCCGGTGTGGCAAAAACGATGCTCGCAGAGACTGCAGCCCAATCAACTGGCCTGTCTTTTTTCTTTTACCAGATGCATCGAGACACGAAACTGCACGAGCTTATCGGAGACGCGGTTATTGTTAGGGAGCCGCAGGCAGAAGGTGGAGAGTTGGTACGCAGCTTAACTCGGCCAGGAGGCATTCTAACTGCAGAGTTATGTGTACTTGACGATATTTCTCGTGCCCCTGGTGAAGCCCTTAACATCCTGCTGCGACTTTTGAATGAAAGGCAGTACAACGGTAGCTGTGGGCAGGAAGTTTGGAAGCTCCCGCTACGGACGGCTATTGCCACGTCCAATCCTTCCGATCCTGGCTCCCGGTACTACACAGAGCCCCTAGATCCGGCAAATCTAGACCGGTTTGTTCTCCAGCTCAAAGCGGAAGGTGCAGTGCAGTCGGGACGGTGGGATGAAGCTGCCCAGATCATCGACCTCTTCTCCGACAACACGCAAGACGAGCCTCCCCCAGCCGGTGAGGCTGAGCAAGAACTCCGGCAAGCTGCTACTGCTCATGCCGCGACTGTGGTGCCACCGAGTGTGCGACGCCTGCTGCTTCAGGTTCTCAAGGATTTGGTCACGCGCCACGGTGTCTCCCAAAAGAATTCGCTTTTGACCGACCGAACCTTTTTGGTAAAAGCATTGCGTGTGATGCGTGCGCGTGCAGTGCTACAGGGTCGCGACGCCTGCATCGCCGATGATATCAAGGTCCTGCACTACCTAACGACCTTCCGGCTTCCTGAAGCGGTCCATGCAAGAGTTGACCACATCGTGCAATCAGTCCTGGACAAAGCTTCAAAAACCGATGAGTGACGTTCATGGGTTGAAGATGCCGCTGACTACTAGTGAAAGCAACATGTGCGCACAGTGGAGTGTTGTCAGGTGAGAGGCTTTTGTCCAAACCATTTTGGTCTGTTTCTGTTGACCATGTGCGTTCCATCCGCTCAACGGAGTGTGGACATGCTGGGAAATCGTGTGGTGGCAGCGCTCCTCTCTACCTTGGACCTTGGTGGTATGAAGAGCTTTTGCAACCGCATTGATGCGGTGATTGGTACAAAGCAGCGATTTGTTCACCAGTGTAGCTGCATTGGTCCTTTCTTCTGTTGCAGCGGTGACTGCTCGTCAGGACAAAGGAGGCAGAGCAAGCACACTGAAGGACATGTAGTAAGCGGTCTCATGGTGCTGCGCATGGTTTTGTCAAGACCCACAATTTGCCACAGCATGCTTGGATAGAAGGAGAATGAGATGTACAGCCAACGGTGTATTGTCTTCTTTTCTTGCTTTCCCGGGTTCAGCTGGATGAGAATTCTTGAAGCTACACGTGACGGGTACCTGTTAGCCTCAATTTCAATGGGTAGTATGAGGGATTACGAAGCCTTCGGCAAACGTGTCACATCCTTGCCTTGGTCACGCTTCCTCGCCCAAAAAATTCACATTGTCCATAGATTTTATGACCAGTTCTAGCAAACTTGCTTCTTTGTATGTTCTGCGTACATGCCCCGGGCAGTGTGGGTATGCCTGCTTAGCCAGCAGTGATCATCCGAATGCTCAGGTTGTAACCGACCGGCAGCAGAATCTTGTCAAATGTCTTCAGGCTTCCGATGCAGTAGCATTGCTTCATGCAGGCCAGCGCTCGTGCATGTACCACAAGGCTCATAGCTGCACTAGCTGACCGACTGTCGATTTCGTGCTTCTGAGGATACTGTACATCTTCCCTACCAACAAAGAGGTGAAGAACGGCCCATTCACTGAGATCGTTTGGCCGCACATCACTCATGAGATCAGGGATGCGGTTCAAATTTCAACGAGCACTGAGCTGAGCAATTGCCTTCCCCGCTTAGTTCAGTTAGCGCGGTGATAGCTCAATGTTCAAGGTGAGTTTGCTGTTCTGAAGCACGAGCGCACGCAAGAACTTCGCCATGTGCCAGGTCCTGCGTCTTGGCAGCTGCAATTAGGGTGCTGCAGGATAACGGCTGCATGATGTCTTCGGCCCTTCATAGATTGCCTCTGCGTCAAGCCTAGGAATTTGTTTTCATGCTTGCCTACGAGTCGCTGGAGGCCATGCGCGGATGTTGCAGATCCCGGATCCTTTCCAGACTTACTTGTAAGTCCAAGGCCGTACGAACAAAGACTGTTTTGCAGAAGCAAGAGTACATCCGCCTCATCGACAAGATGACAGGGTGCTCATGGCTGATGTGTTCAAAGCATGAGGCTGCATAGGCTGCCTATGAGTAAACAAGGCTTCAACCACTGCCTGTCCCTGTTGAGAATGCCAGGGAGGAGCGAGTTGTGCAGGGTGCCACTACCTTGGTCCCGCGGCCGCTCGAAGAGGCAGCAGATGAACTCCTGTTAATGTACTTGCCCCCATGAGCGTGGAAGGCACCTGCAGGTGTGGAGACTGCCATTGTCATTGGCGCGCAGAACGCAGTTCTTGCCACTGCTTGGCATTAGAATGAAACCTCGCAGCAGCCTTCTGTCGATGCCCTGGCCCTACACTGAAGGTGTACAACAAGACTTCGGGCTTGAAAAGCTTGGTGCGGCAGGCTTTCGATTGTCTCTGAATGGCTGCACATGATCCGTGAGATTTTTATGATTTGTGTCTTCATGGAGGCCGGAGCTTTCGTTCCGGCACCGTATGAAGAGATCCAGAGTGAGCAGCAGGCTGATTTAGAGTTATATAGCTCCTCTAAAGAGTATTTGACCCGATCCAGGTACTCCGTGCGATATGTGTATTGGCTACTTTGGCCATACTTCGGGAGACTGCAACCGACTGCAGGCAGTTCTGCTGGAGCCCTTGGAGTATGCAGTTGTCAAAGATCTGCTCACCGGCGAGGACAGATGGTTCCTGTGCTTGTACTGTAGGCTTTCTAATCTTCCTAGTGCAAAGACGGAGCATGCTGAGCTGTAGGATAGGGTCAGGGCATGTCAAGATTGCATCAGGCTCGCAATGAAGTCGGGCCACAGCTGCTGCAAGCAGATGCCTACGAGGCGGTCTTTTGCTGTGCATGGTGCATTTGATGGATTGGATGCAGTCCTTGTCTGCTGGCCAGAGCATCTTAGAGACCAAGAGGAAGCTTGTCCTGGAGAAGGTGCGCAACTTGATGTTGCCAGTTGAAAGACTGCATGATGACTCTTGACGCCACAGGATGAGTACATCCAGCTTCTTGACAAGAAGACAGGAATAGAGCGGGTCCTGCGAGGCTGGCATGAAGGGCACGCCTCCTGGCTGTAGCTTCTGTGGTGGAAATCCAGATCCCAAATCATGGTTTTACACAGGACGGGAAATTCAATCAGTCAGTCAGAAGCATAAGTCCAGTTCGAAGGAGCCATACTCGAGTGCAGAAATGTGCTGCCCACTAAGGCGCACCTAAGCCCCACCAGCGGGATTTACATGGGAGCGATACGTGTCACTAAGGGTGAGTGATTGGGGAGCAGGCACACGCCAGATTATGCTCGGAAAAGCACACAGCAAGCCCGTCAGAGTTCATTTTTCACGAAAAACTTCTTGGAGCCCATAGTTCCAACAGCGCAGCAAGACAAGGTCAGTTCTGGACCTTTGGAGCAGGTTGATCTTCAAGAGCAAGCAGGGACTGCAAAGCGTCCAACTGAAGCTTGATGCGATGAATGGCAATGCTCAGCCTAGCCTGGGGGGCTTGGAAACCCCATGTGCTGCATGCGTGCATGTATCATCATGTATCCAAGCATCCAAGCATCCAAGCGTCTTTGCAAAGCGACCACGAACATCTCGCCGTCTGGATTACTGTCCAGCGTTTGGTGCGAAAATTGTATTCTCGCTGGAGTTTTTGTTTAGTTTTACGGGCTTCGAGGGGCCTTTAAAAAGTGCTCCGTTTTTTCTCGGAACGTCGCTATGCGTAGGCTTTTTTGTGCCATCAACCCACCGCAATTCACAGTAGTTTCAGTAAAAAATGCTTGCTTTCGCAGGGGCCGAATCTTATGCTATTTCGGCATTTTGAGAACACAGTTTCCCTTTCCTTTTTTCTTCTCACTTGCTGAGATTCTTGAGGTGCGTGCCGGTTGCTCTGGTTCTCAGATGCTCTCGGATTAGGAACGTTGTTCGGGTTTAGGCATGGAGCTGTGACTGTCGTATGCTCTCGGAACACGAACGTTATTGTGGTCTAGCTTCGGCTAATGGAGCGTAGCTTGGACTAACGGGAACGATCCTTAGACTACTATGAACTATCCCTGGACTAAGGCGGCAAAGCTGATATAAGCTGATGCTCCGGTCTTTGAAGGCTCTCGAAAAGGGACAAAATTATCAAGTGGGTAAGGCCCCGGCAGGGCTGCTGTGATGATGGAAAACTCTCGAGCATTGGCACATGATGGCTCGGCCGTGGATGTCCCCAGCTGTAGAAATGCTGCCCAACATGGACGATGCCGGCAAAATGTGGCTGGTAATCCATCCGGTAGCATGAACATGTCTTAGGACGTTTGAGGCCAAAGGGCGTGCAAACCCAGTACCTTAAGCAATCTTCGGTTTCATGTCGCGGCTTGCCCCACGAACATCAGGGACCAAGGTTCCTGCGTGTGTAGAAGCAAAAGTGATCACAACTTGCCCTCCCCAGCAAAGGCATTTGCGTGCAGCAAGATGACCGTGTCCCCTGGGCGCAAGATGGCCCTTAGTTTTGCCATGCGAGTACTTCGCTTCAAGCGCCCGTCTACAACATTCAGCATGCACATGCGTGCGCAACATATTGAACAAGTGTAGCCGAATGCCCAGTCCAGAACAGACAACGGGCAGCATCAGCACGGACTGGCTTAGAGGGAAACAACCCCTGGTCCGCAAGCGTCTGCGGACACGCATCATGACAAGCTGCTTCGACCAAAGTCATGGGATCCGCCATCACAATCACGAAGAGGGCATTGGCAAGCTCACCATGGGTCCCCGACCTGGATCTTGAAATTTGGAAGAAGAGCCGAGAAACGGAAAAGGGCGCAGCAGCAAGGGGCCTTTGGACCGTTCCAAAGACATGGTGCAACAAAGCTGGTGTCATTGCTCTGCAACTCTCGATACAGTAGAAAGTAACGCGAAATTCCAGGAAGAGAAGCTTAGAGTCATGTCCAGTGGCATTTTCACCTTGCAAACAATAGCACTGCAGGACTTGAGCTTGCGACCATGCACCAGCTCAGAGGGGCGTTTTCGAAATGTGCAACCAACAGGGGCCTCCAGAAATTTCGAGTGGCTTTCCCAACTCCTTTATCAAAAGGGTGGATCTCCAGTTCTCAAGTTTGCGCACCATGCCAGCAGGCACAAACTTGCTGGCTTACACAATCTGATGTGGGACTTCAGCATCAAGGGCAAAGATGAAAGAGCAGCGGCAACCAGGCCAACCGACCAGTGTTCACTGGACACCCCACTAGGTCCAGCGACGACAGCTTGCTCTGAATCACGAAGCTCAAAAGCCACATCGTTGCGTGGAAGCGCCGCAAGCTGGAACCCAAGGGCTTGCCTTGCGTCAGATGGCGCCTTCACCTCAATGCTACTGGCAGCTCTGCTGGCCCGCCCCAACAATCCAGCAATATAGTTGCGTGTCTCTTAGAGCGTGCGTCCAACGAGCTGCGAAACAGATCGGACATTCGCAGCGACTGTGATCAAGCCCCCGCCGCCGCGTGACGCGCTGTTTCATACCTGTTCCGATTTACCCTCACATTGTGTGTGATGTTTTGCGATGTGACATCAAAACCGAGTGCTTACACCGAAGCAAAGACGAGAGATCAGGATGACTTGCCAACTACAAGAGGCAGATGACACATTAATCCTTGGTATCCACACGCAGGCAATCAATGTACACACTAGTAGAAGATTCGATTAAACTACTTCTGCTTGGAAAGTAGAGCTACCCGGACCCCACGAGACAAGTCAGTTTTGAACAAAACGCTGATGTACCCAGGCAGGAAAGCAGACGGCCAGCAAAGTCTTGAGTTTCATGGTGAGTTATTCGGTAGAGCGGAGGCGTACGGAGAAAACACCAATGAAGAAGGACAATATGTCACACGCCAAGCATTGAATCGTCCAGGACTACTTTCCATCAATGAAAGTAGACTCACATTTTGCCTCCCACAATGTCATTGCTGAAGATGAGCGCGCACTAAGTGATCCACAGCAGCATAAAGGTTCAGTTCGCCATGCGTTTCAATTGTAAGCAGAGATGCATAAGTTTCACCGGTCAAATCAACAATTCTAACGTTACATATCTGATCCCTGATGTCGAGCTAGGACTCTTTGCTCAGACTTTCCGAGTGAGAAATGATAAGCTCTTGGCAAATTGCATGGGGTCGCAAAGTGTGACACTTCTCCGATTTACGAAAAGATTTCGTAAGTCATGTAGAGTGGTAGCGTTCTCAAAAGCATTGCAAATCATTTTTGGGTCTTAAAGTTCCCGCTCTGAGAGCGCATCAAAGGGAACCTCCCGAAAGCATCCGAAGCTGTTCGAATGCGAACTCGATCACTTTGTAAACAACTGTAGACTGTAGACTGGGTTCTGAAACGCGGACCCAGTCACATTGTAGTACAACTGCGAAGTCAGCTAAGACCTCCGGAGCCTGGGAGGATATGGGACAAAACCTAGAGCCTAGAGCCAGTACCAGCCTTCCACGAATTGATTGTCTGAATGTCAACAAAAATCGAGTCCAAAGGCACTGACACCTTGGGCGCTTTGGAAGCCAGAACCATGCTGCCATGCTAAAAAAATGCTAGAGAGAGAATTATCAGCATCATTGGCTCGCCGTTGCTGCGGACCCCAGACGTGGGTATCCATGCTCTCCGTCTCCCATGTGTAACAGCCCTGTTCTGATTTTCTCACGCTCGACCTGGAAGCAGGGGACTCTGATGTGAGCAGAGCTATCCAAATGCAAACCTTGGTGAGGCAGGAGTGTTTACACACATTTCGTTTATGCTCATTAGTTGGGCTCCAGGTTGGGCTCAGACAAAAACTGTACTTTCCAGGTTCCCCCCTGGCAGATTATCATGATTTGTGGCTCACCCAAGTGCGGTGTGCGTTGTGCGTTGTCAACTGCTGATATTCATGCATCCTTTCGTCCAATGCATCGGCCACACTGAAAGAGGCTTCTCTGCCTGCAGGTCCAGATCAAGTGGTGCCAGAGCCAAATGAAGAGGCTGAGGATGGCGTCCAGAAGGCAGCTTTCTCCACAAAGCCTGTTGTAGGAAACGAAGTGTCTGCTCTACACACTCCCCACATGCACAAAAGCAAATCGTGCGCTGCGACCTTTCCGGATGGTGGCAGATCTTTTGGAGCATGGAAAGTCGGAGAAATCAGGGATGCTAGACCACTGAAGCCTGCAATTTTTGTGCCAGTCATATGACTCCCCGATTAGTGCATAGTTTAAGAGCACCAAAATCGAGGCTGTTTTTCTCACAGACCAGCAAGCCGTGGTGGTCCTCAACAGGCGCATGCTGTTGTGTCAACGCCTCAACTTGCGACGCCCAATACTTGCACTTGAGGGAATGCTGGGCACCAGGACATCTGGGCAAAGACGGCTGGAAACCACAAATGGCGTGTTCTTTCCTGCAGCGTATGAAAAGGTGCTGGAGGCAAGGTACCAAACCAGACGGTTGCTTGTGCACATGAGATTGACACTTCAAAGAAGATGTGATTCCAGTTGCTGAAGTCATATATCTTACGGGTGTTCGCAGGTGAGGTCGAAGTACGTGGTCTTGACCAACCAGGCCAGCGGAAAAGAAGGAATAAAAAGGAAGGTTCTGTAAAACTTCTGCCAAGGCTGCGGTGACAAGAGATGTCCTCGGTGGCATGCCTGCATTTCTCCCTGATTCTGAACTCATTTCCTCTTTACTTTTTCTATTTAGCCTTTTTTTATTTCTTGTTTCTTTTCTACTTGTGTCCAGGGGCCCTGACGATGATAAGTGGAGCAAGCGGGAGCACGGCCTTCTTCTTGCAGCCCTATGAAGTGGCCAAGCTGCATTTGGCTGCGTTTGGCTGCGTTTGCCTCCACTGGCCCTTCCATGCGCTTCCCAGGAGTTGGTAGAGATGCAATGGTCCGAATACGACAGCCCCGATGCCCAGGCTTCGATCGATTTTCCTTTCGGAAAGCTGCGTGCTGCAGACCTGTAGCAACATGAGCATCTTTTGAACACGCAAACTGCATTTTGTGCAGCAGGATCCCGTTCCCAAGAAAACAGTGACGATGATCGATCTGCGAGCGCAGAAGATGCTGCTTCACAAGCAAAGCAAATGCGTACGCACACGCGGATTGAATTCTGGATGATGCCGGATCTTCTGTGTCAGGTTTTTCAACGTTGAAGTGCGCACCAGTGACAACGTGAAGATGAGACTTGAGGGTACGATCTTTTGGCAAGTGAAGGACGGGTGCTGTGCATGTTGATTATCCTGTCCGCTATCGTCCTGCACTCGAGCTTGCAGGACGTCCTAACAATGATTGCCATGACAGCAGATCCCGCGGGTGACGTTTCACAACGGGCAAGAAGTGGACTTGTGTCAGCAGTGAGCATGAACACATTTGCAGTCCATCCCTCAGAGATTTATGTAGAATATCACAATGTGCTCTACTTCGAGCAGCTTGGCTGTGCCAGGTCTTCATGAGTCAGTTCAACAACATCACCGCGCAGGCAATTGAGAACCGCATTTCTTGATGAAAAATAGATTGAACATTCTGGGACACGAGAGCAAAGAAGCCATACATGGTAACCACACCATGTGGCCTGTCAGCATCCTGGTCTAGACCCACGTGGGAAGGCCTCACTGCAAACGACTTTTGTCCACAACGGGGAGGGGGGTTGGATTTTAAAAGCAGCAGAGAGCGAGTCAAAAGCATGAGCTGTAAAGCTAGCCTGGACTAGCAAAAATGATTTATTTGGCAGCTCTGTTTACTATCATTTCTCTTCATCAACCTTGGCCCAGCCAGGCGTATGCTCAGCAGTCAGCTGATGGCTTTTACAGTGCACGTGGCGTCGAACTGCAAAGCATGGAAATGACGCGATATGATATGGTTGATCAGGAGCCGCATTGCTGCGCGATTAAGCAGATTTGGCATGCAACAATCTTTGGGCCAGGAGACTGCCGACATTCTGCAGCTGATCATCCAAGAAAGCACCAATCGTCGCAGCCTTGCAATGCACTGCAAGTGAGGAAGCAGAAGAGAGTGAATTGAGAGAAGAGTGAGGAAGTGTTCCGCAAGGTATCAACAGGTTGCAGCAGCAGGAGTCCGAGAACGACGTCCTGGCGGCGAAGCTGGTGGCCGACATCCAGTGTCGTGTCAAAAACACTATACGAACCCGTTCAAAAAAAATGCGGTTTTTGCTTCCAGCCTCTAAGGCTGGAGCAACAGCGAACGGATTTCATCAGAACCCAGGCGTGTCCCTTTCCAAGACTTGGCTGGCTGTTGCCTGAGAAAGTGAGGCTAACAACCAGAGGCTGGCAGCTCTGCTAGAAGGCCAAGCTCAAGGAACTGAGCTGGTTGGAATCTCAGAATCTCAGCAATTTCGGACGCCTCGCTAGTTGCATCTTGCATGCTAGTCCCTGAGGTAGAGAGCGCAGCGGCCTTCATCGATGGTTTGAATGAGACCGTGCCAGATGTGGCAGACCGTACAGAGCTGTACAGGCAGGGTGCCTGCAGCTTGAAAGGCTTGTGCAAGATCTGCGCTTCAGGATGCACCAGCTCCTGGACGCAAGGAACACGGACACGCACAACCTGGCCTCCGGCCAGGCAAGGAGATACAGTAGCCGAGAAGAATGCTAGACTGCTAGACTTCTGCCTGACAGGCTCAGCTCTTCCTTACACCTTCCAACCTCAATCTACAGCTCCGAATGGCGAATGATGAGCTGTGACGAGACAGACTTTCCTCCGTGTTGCATGAGAACATACCCCAGAGCTGACTTGTGCTTGTGCAGCAGCTAAGCTCTGCTGTTTTCCGTTCTGCGCCCTGGTCTGAAATTATGCACTGGGACGCAGACAGTCACAGCACAAGTGAGCAACAGAGCAGCGTTCTAGTCTACTGTAGCTGCTTCAGGCAACTGTTGCATCATAGTCCCCCCCACTGCTAGACGCAAACCGTGCATTTTGAGCGAACGTCCGTCACAGCACATGACAGATGCAGGCGGCAGCAGTTGCTGCAGGCTGCAGATCATGCACCAAATTTGAGATGTTCCAATCCCAGTTCCAGCAGCTGCTTTTGAATCTTCTTGCAGCACCTCACGTCTCTCTTCTGGAGGTTGCGTGCTGCACCTAGGGAACAGGGAGACTGAGGATGGCTGATGCTGGCGAGTGCAAACCTGCACGCCAGAACTTATCGTCCCAGGTGTTGTTGTCGCCTTATGTAGGCTTTGTGTTCTGGCTTTCAAATGCTGACCAGCAACCTGGTTACCAGCTCCAAAGGAGCGTTGGACATGATGTGACATGACTCTGGCAGTGAAAAGGCTGTTGCTGTCATGATTTGTCATGGCAGTGGACAAGCTTTCCATCCTGACTCTCTGCCTGCCTTTCTTTGTGTTTCTCCATTCCCGTGCCGGTAATCACTCTCTGGCAGTCTGGGTCTGCTGACGGCTTCTTCCAACGCATGCTGAGCGCTAACCTCACCAGAAGATTCTTCTTTTCAAGCGATAAAGCCTATTTGTCTTGCAGAATGCGCAGTCTGCACAGCCAGTGAGCAGCTTTGGCAAGCGCGTAAAATGCAGCAAGGCCTGGCTGAATGCCTGAAAGCCTCAACAAAAGAGCCGCCATCCATCAGGGGAGTCGTATCACTGTCCAACGTGGCCCCGCAACGACGCGTTACCGAGCCTGTGGCCATTGAGCAGCGGCCAGCTGGCACGCTGATCAAGCATGATCAAAAGATTGCAGAATGTTCTCTTCATGATCGATGATCGGGAATATCTCTGATCCATCCTGAGGCTATGATGTTGGACGTTGACAAAGTGTTGCTCGACAAACTTGGCATTGCCTTTCCTTGTCTGTTTGGTGTCTTCAAGACTTCAACTAGTAGTGTTTGTGAAGTGCTACGAAGTGCTAGAGTGAATCACATCGCTACAGGTTCAGCTAAAGCATGAGAGAGCTGTGCATGCAGTTGCGAGAATCTAGCCCGGCAAAAGTATCTCCATCTCAGCTTTCAGTCAACTTAGACTTGCCATTTATGTCTGTACCGTGGAAGGACGTTGAAGGTGCTCTCTACGAAATGCAGAAATTGTTTGTCTCGTGGAATGTGTCATGGTGTTGGCTTTGTTGTTTCAAAACGCTTCAAACTTCACAGGAGTCATGTCCAAGGTTTCTGCCAAGTAAGTGCAACAATTGCGCATCTTAAGGTCAAGTGCCGTGATGGGGCCGTTGCCTTCGTCACACTTCTTGCATCTCACAGCCTGAGAAGTCAATGCGAGAAGTGGAGTTTCTAGAACCAAAGAAACGGATTCTGCGACGATCCCCAGGATTTCTCATGCCATCACCGTAAAAGTTGTCGTCATTTTTCCCGTGAAGAAAGCACTAATACTCCAACGGCCATGTGGGACTGATGATTTCCTTTGCCCTGCTTGTGTCCCTTTTGGGCTTCTTACAAACAGTGAACCTTGTGATGTTCTGGGACTTGTGGACTCATTTGTTTGCCATTTGCCTCCTCATGGTTCTTGCGTCTGTTTTCCACTTGTCTTGCCTTGTGAAATGAACGAACGTGGATTTTGTTATGTTCCGGGGACGACTGGACTAATTTGTGTGGAATTTATTCTCTTTTGCAACATGAGCAGAATGTGGGTGCTGTGACGGCGCTGCGGACTGGTGAGTTCGTTCATGTTTCGCATTTGTTTTCCGTTTGCTTCCGTTTGTGTTGCATGTGTCTCTCATTTGTATGCTGTGGCGCCCGCCGCGGGGCTGGTGGACTTGTTTGTGATTTATCTCGCATTTGCTTCTAGTTTGTTTTCCACCTGTGTTGCATGTGTTTATCATTCCCAATTTTGATGCTGCGACGCTGTTCTGGGACTGGCGGGCTCATTTGTTTGCGTTTGTCATCTCTTTGGTTTCAACTTGGCCGTCTTTGTGAGACGAGAGGAAGCATGTTATGTGCGGACTTCTTGCGTTCGAAGCGTTTGTCTTCAGCATGTCTCGTCATGTGGCACTGTGCTAAACTTGTGTGTTTTTTGGATGTGAGCCCGCATCCAGCATTCCTTAATGCGAGTACTATATGTCACAATCATACGTCGCAGCGGGTGCTAGATGAGTGTGCAGAGGCCAGCCAGCAGTCTGCAGAAGACCCGGCGTTGAGTATCTACGCAAACCCGCCGTCTCGGACAAAGGTGAGGGTTTTTTGGGGAGAAGCAAGTATGGAAATGATTGCCATGGGTGGGGGGGCGTTGGGGGCTTGCAATCACTTTCTTGTTCCGCCCTGTTGAAGCCCCGCTCTGGGGTCCACCCCATGACCACAGAGAGGCTTGAGCCACTTCAGCGCACGTAACGTGCGGGTTGCAAACACGTATCTCAATGTGTTGGTGGCTCGGAGCTCGCCATTGATGTCACTACCGTGTCGCTGCTGACTCGACGCACAGCCGTGCCATCAGAAAATGGCGCCTGCCTCGGCGATGTCACATCGCCCTCCTCGGTGTGAAAGTCGGGGGCAGGTTTGGGTTCGAAGTGACCGGCATTCCTCGCGCCTGCTGGCGCGCCATATGGCCGCGACCGCGAGTGCACACCTTGGAGTCACTGGTGTCGCGTTGGGCTGCCATCCTGTCTTTTGCTGCGCAGAGCGGTTTCGCCGCTCGGGGCGACGCTAACGGCCAAGAAGCCGAGCCGGAGTTTTCTTCGAAATATTGGCTGAGCTACTGGGACCAACCGGTGTTGTCGAGCTGCCCCTCTGCATCCTTTCCGACTGAGACTGAGTCGTTTGTTGGGGAAAAAGGCTCGGCCACAACAAATTCACGTCAAATGATTTTTCATGATGTTTCCATGTGCAACTTTGGGTTCAGCCCTTTCCATTGAAGGGTGTAGTGCTTCCTGTATTGGCCAAATGGGCCACCAAGAATTCAAACATGGCAGGCTTCTTATGTCTCTGTTCTTCTGTGTCTGGATCGGGAATGGGGTCTAAGCTGCATCCTGGATGGGAATCAAAGCCCTGGACCCTTCTCTTCCTACCACCCCAATCCTGTCTCCCTTCCCTCACACCCCGGATGTCAGGTAGCAAGGCGAGACAGCTTCGCGGAAATATTCTTGCGGGGACCACTGGAACACAATGGAAACCTGCCACCCAACCAGACCAAACGTCCTCTTAAAGTCCACCCAGAAGTGTGGTTGAAACCCGCCATCATGAACGCCAACTGCCTCGCCGACAAGCACAACAAATGCCCCGCCGTTCGAGTAGTGCTCGACTGCGGGGGTGCCGGGTCCTGCAGCCAGTTGCCGCCCCAGGCGTATAGCAGGACCGACTCGGGACCATGGCGGGGGGCCGTACTCGTCAATTTCGGACAGCCCGCGGAGCAGCAATGTATACAGGGGGGGGTTTCATAAACCTAGGCTCTTGAGATCAGTTTATCGAATGTTCAGAAATAGAGTGGATTCGATTTCGGCTGTGCAATCTTGTGCATGGTTGCACTGCGTATGTAGTATGGTTTTAGTTAAAACATATTTCACTCCTGGGGTAGCATTTTGGGGTTCCATTTAGGGTGAGCGCCGCCGGTTACCTTACGAGGTACACTCTCGGGGTAGCCGCGCCCTTTTGGGGTCCATTTAACGTGACCGCCGCCGGTCACCTTAAAAGGTACATTCTTGGGGTGGCCTTTTGGGGGTCTTGGGGTAGCCTTTTGTGGGTCCATTTAAGGTGAGCGCTGCGGGTCACCTTAAGTGTCCATTTAAGGTGACCGCCGCCGGTCACCTTAAAAGGTACACTCTTGGGGTAGATTTTTTGGGGTCCATATTCTTGGGGTAGCCGTTTGGGGTCCATTTAAGG